GTGTGTGTGTGAGAGAGAGAGTGTGCGTGTGTGTGTGAGAGAGAGAGCGTGTGTGTGTGTGTGAGAGAGTGTGCGTGTGTATGTGTGTGTAGGAGAGAGGGAGTGTGTATGTGTGTCGGAGAGAGTGTTTGTGTGTGGAGAGGGCAAAAGAGAGAGGATCTGTGTGTGATTGTTTGTGTGTGAGAGTGTGTAGTATGGTGGGGTCACCTGTAGTGTGACATGAACCCAAGATCCTGGTTGAGGCCATCTCATAGGTACCGAATTTGGCTATTAGCCTCTGCTCAGTGACTCTGCGTTGTTGTGTATCCTGAAGTCTGCCTTGGAGGACATTCACCCGAAGGTCCAAGGCCGAATGTCCTTGACCGCTGAAGTGTTCCCCCATTGGGAAGGAACATCCCTGTTTGGCAATTGTTGCGTGGTGTCTGTTCATCCTTGTTGTAGCGTTTGCATGGTTTCACCAATATACCATGCTTTGGGGCATACTTGCCTGCAGCATATGAAATAGACAACGTTGGGTGAGTCACGTGAGTGTCTGCTGTGTATATGGTGGGTAATGTTCCCATGAGTAGTGTCAATGTTGAAGATCTGACATGTCTTGCAGAGGTTGCCGTGACAGGGTTGTATAGTGTTGTGGTCGATGTTGTCCTGAAGGCTGGTTAGTTTGCTGCAAGCAATGGTCTGTTTAAGGTTTGGTGGTTGTTTGAAGGCCAGAAGTGGAGGCGTGGGGAAGATCTTGGCGAGGTGCTCATCATCACCGATAATATGTTGAAGGCTGCAAAAAACATGGCGTAGTTTCTCCACTCCCAGGAAGTACTAGACAATGAAGGCTACCCTACTGGTCATATCCTGTGTCTGCCTTCTGAGGAGGTCATTATGGTTTTTCACTGTGGATTGTCAGAACTGGCAATCAATGAGTTGAGCATCATATCCTGTTCCTATGAGGGCGTCCTTCAGTACCATCAGGTGTCCGTCGCATTCCACCTGATCCGAACAGATCTTCTGTATGTGTAAGCTTTGTCCCTGTAGGGGATGGTTGTTTTAATATGTTTAGAGTGGGAGCTTGAGAAGTGCAGCATCGTGAAGTTATCCATGATCTTACAATAGAGTCAGGTACTGAGGTGTTCATCCTTGATGGAGATGCATGTGTCCAAGAATTATTAATCAATTAAAACCTTCTAACTGATGAAAGATTTAACAGCATCTTAGGTTTGTTTAATACATCCTCATCAGGTTTGTGACCCTTTGATCTTTTACTTATAAATTCTGTGTATGATGCCACCTCTCTCACCAACAACTGAAGAAGTAGCGAGGTTCCAAACGCTTGTGTTTTCAAATTGGACTATAACCGGGTGTCATGAGTTTCCTGAAATTAGGATCTCACAATTTGAGAAATTGCAATTCATTATCAGCCACAAATTGGGCCACTGCAACTTATCACTCTTTTATTAGTCTGTTAGAGGATTTTTGCAGTTGTGGCTGTAGCTCCCTATGGAGCCTGGGTGGAGGAGGTGAATGAACAGAGACAAGCCCCTCTTTTAAAAGGGAATTTTACATTTGATAAATTATAATCTATAAAATAAAAAATGCTGTAGAACCAGGAAACTTGATTCTGAATATTACCTTACCTTTCTTCTTATTCTTCTCTTGTATATCATTGAATCAGATTTGGATGTGTGGTGGCGAGCTGGAAATAATTCCGTGCTCTCGGGTTGGGCATATTTTCCGTAAACGCCGACCGTATGGTTCACCTAGAGGACAGGACACAATGACACACAATTCTCTTCGACTGGCACATGTCTGGATGGATGAGTATAAAGTATCTTAGTCCCATACTCAGATTACAGCCCACTGTATGAATTAGAATAATTCTGTGATTTTTCAACTGACCAGCTGTTATGCTTTGGTTTTTCTCAAAGTAGGAGAGAAGTTTGCAATGTCAATACCATCACTTGGTGAATATTTAGCTTTCTTTGATGTAGTTCTATTTTCTTTGTTTTTTTGTCTTGTCCCCCTGCATGACTGCGTTCTTTTAGGTTAATCCTAAATTTGGTTATTCTCTCGTCTCTCTTTATTTGAATTCAAAACAATGAGGCACGAGCCAGCAGGCATCTCCTCTGACTAAGTTTATGAAATTTGTGTGTGAAGTAAACATTTGAGTTATCTGCGAGAGAAATTTTTACACAGAGTAGCTGTGGCAATTGCCTACTCGTTTATCTTTTAAGCAAGTGGCACGATGGAAAAATTTATGGAATTTTCACTATATGCTTCTGACAACTTCAGTGGGTGTGAGAAAACACCTTCCAACAGGCAATATTGTTCAGGCTAATGCTGCAAATCTGATTTATGACATGATATTCTGGATTAGGTTTGAATACCAGGTCCTAGAGTATACAAGGCTACACTTGGCCATTAATTTGATTACCAATCTAAACAATGGTTGAGTATAGCACAATACAAACTGGTTTGAAGGCAGAAGACTAAGGATGGTGGTGGAGGGTTGTTTTTCAGACTGGAGGCCTATGACCAGTGGTGTGCCACAAGGATTGGTGCTGGGTCTGCTGCTTTTCGTCATTTATATAAATGATTTGGATGTGAACGTAGGATGTATGGTTAGCAAGTTTGCAGATCATACGAAAATTGGAGGTGTAGTGGACAGTGAAGGAGGTTACCTCAGAGTACAATGGGATCTTGATCAGAGGGCTAGAAGGCTGAGGAGTGGCTGATGGGGTTTAATTTAGAAAAATATAAGGTGTTGCATTTTGGAAAGGCAGGACTTATACACTTAATAGTAAGGTCCTGGGGAGTGTTGCTGAACAAAGAGATCTTGGAGTGCAAGTTCATAGTTCCTTGAAAGTGGAGGCCCAGGTGGACAGGATAGTGAAGAGGGCATTTGGTACGCTGACCTTCATTGATCAGTGCATTGAGTATCGGAGTTGGGAGGTCATGTTGTGGCTGTACAGGACATTGGTTAGGCCACTTCTGGTATACTGCATGCAGTTCTGGTCTCCCTGCTATAGAAAGGATGTTGTGAAACTTGAAAGGTTCAGAAAAGATTTACAAGGATGTTGCCAGGATTGGAGGGTTTTAGCTATAAGTAGATTCTGAATAGGCTGAGGCTATTTTCGCTGGAGCGAGAGAGGCTAAGGGATGACCTTATAGAGGTTTATAAAATCATGAGGGGCATAGATAGGGTGAATAGACAAGGTCTTTTTCCCGGGATGGGAGAGTTCAAAACTAGAGGGCAGAGGTCTCAGATGAGAGGGGATAGATTTAAAAGGAACCTAAGGGACAACTTTTTCACTCACAGGGTGATGTGTGTATGGAATGAACTGCTAGAGGAAGTGGTGGAGGCTGGTACGAATACAACATTTAAAAGGCTTCTGGATGGATATATGAATAAGAAGGGTATAGAAGGATATGGGCCAAATATTGGAAAATGGGACTAGATTCATTTAGGATATCTGGTCTGCATGGACGAGTTGGAACAAAAGGTTTGTTTCCACACGGTCCAGATTGATGACTCTAAAATCTGAATGGAAAGTGAGAATAATTGCAACCAGAATCTCTAGTCTGGCACTAAGTAGCAACTTGGAATTGATGTTACAGTTGTATAGGACTTTGGTTGGACCACATTTGGAATACTGCGTACAGTTCTGGTCGCCACATTACCAAAAGGATGTGGATGCTTTGGAGAGGGTGCAGAGGAGGTTCACCAGGATGTTGCCTGGTATGGAGGGCACTAGCTATGAAGAGAGGTTGAGTAGATTAGGATTATTTACATTAGAAAGACGGAGGTTGAAGGGGGACCTGATGGAGGTCTACAAAATCATGAGATGTATAGACAGGGTGGATAGCAAGAAGCTTTTTCCCAGAGTGGGGGATTCAATTACTAGGGGTCACGATTTCAAGGTGAGAGGGGAAAAGTTTAAGGGAGATATGCGTGGAAAGTTCTTTACGCAGAGGGTGGTGGGTGCCTGGAACGCGTTGCCAACAGAGGTGGTAGAGGCGGGCACGATAGCGTCATTTAAGATGTATCTAGACAGATACATGAATGGGCAGAGAGCAGAGGGATACAGATCCTTGGAAAATAGGTAACAGATTTAGATAGAGGATCTGGATCGGCGCAGCCTTGGAGGTCCGAAGGGCCTGTTCCTGTGCTGTAATTTTCTTTGTTCTTTGATTGATTTGGTGGGTTTATATAATTGTTGTAAGCAACAACAATAAGCTTCCGCTACCTTTATCATCAAGGAGCAACCTGGATAAGACAGTAAAACTGTTTTATAGATTCTTGTTGAGCAAGAGGGTGAAAGGTTATGTGGCGTAGGTGGGAATATGGAACAGGCTTGACTGACCTGCTCCTAATTTGTATGTGTTTCATATGTGTCATTATAAACAATCATAACAATCCTAATTCCTACCCTGGAAACTAAACTTTATGACTTTTTCTCACTGAATGGTTACTATTTGAAATTGTTCCCATAGCAAATTGCCTTTATTTTCTCCAGAGATAATTAGTACATCTTGTGCATGAATTTCACTTTTCTGAGACGTAAAACCAATGTAATTATCTGCAGTATTAACTATAGGATATTTTTAAAATTCCAGGAACAATTCTTTGCCCTGAGGCCTGAGCTGAGAATCCAAAATTATGGTGATATCAGTGAACGAGTTCAGTTGAGAAAAAGGCTCAATTGTAAAACATTTAAATGGTATCTGGACAATGTGTACCCAGAGATGCAAATTGTTGGACCAGATGGAAAAGCCAGAGTACAACAACCATTGTTAATTAACAAAGCTGTGAAACGGCCAAAGGTTCTCCAGCGTGGAAGGGTAAGGCTCAGTGATATGAGAAACCGAGCTGAGATTGTTTAGTAATCTGCAGTTAAAGATTCATAAAGCCATTTTTGTGAAAGTTATCAATTTCGTGTGCATCATCTTCTACTATAAATAACTGGATTATAAATTCCTGGCCTTAATTTCCTCAAACTTCATAACCCAATATTAATGCCAAAATTTAGGTTGATTTTTCTATTTGCAACTTAGTCTGAAATTTCCTGTGAATTCAAGGGAATGATGCAAACCCAAGCAGAGAATAACTTAAACATTTAGGACCTGGAGGAAGCATGCAAATTAGGCAACTTTCCTTTTTGGTATGTATGAAAGTGAGAGTTTTAGCCTTGCGGACCATCCTAAATCAGATTTCCTACATTCTGTTTTACTGCTGATCGGTACAAGTATTGCATACTAGGGACATTAATCAATAGGAATCAAGCATCTTCTGCTAACTCTTTGACCAACAGTACATAAAGACCATTGCAACACCCTTTGCCAGATGCCAGAAAGACTGGGCTAGACTGCCCTTCCAAATGCTGAGTTGATGCTTCAACCTCTCAGAACCAAGCTCCTAGAAATATACAACTATTGGCATCTTAAGAATTAATGATACAACATGAGCCTTCCATCTGCTCTGCTGTAGACTCTGGGCCATCACCTGATAGGAACATCAGAGGACATAAAGGATCATGAGGGACTCACTGCTGATTGTAATTAATATCAGTCATCTGTATATTGCAGTAAAAGTAATAATCTATTGTGCAATTTTGTGTGCAGAGAGTTTCTGCAGCAGCTGGTGACCCTGTGACATTAGGTGACTTGATTGTCAATATTAGTATTGAGCCACATGCTGTTTATTAGAGGGTGGACAACTTGGAGAGATGTTGGACATGACTGTTACTGCAGCAGAATATGGATAAATAAGATGATAAGTTCTTCAGTGAATTACAGCAGCAGTGGTCCTGCTACAGACCAATATTGGAGTTTATTTATTATGCAGATCAGGCAGGAAAATGGAGTTGAGGTACATAATCAACATGATCTTAATGAATGGCAGAGTAAGCTCAAAGGACTGTGTTGTTACTTCTGATGTTATTTCTTACATCTTCCTAATTTCTCATCATATCTGAGTCATCATTCTTTTGTCTCATCGTACTGTCCAAGTGTAGTCTTTGTTGCAGAGCAGAGTTGCGTAGAACATAGCAAAGTTTCATAATTCAGGCAAGGGAACACTCATTTTGGGTTGTTTAGCAAGAAAACTTAAGGGGGAGTGTGAGCAGCCAAAGGTCGTGGTGCACATTGGTACCAACGACATAGGTAGAAAGAGGGATAAGGTCCTGTGGAGTTAGGAAAGAGACTGAAAAACAGGACTTCAAGTGTAGTAATTACTGGGTTACTACCAGTGCCACGTGCTAGTGAGGCAAGGAATAGAAAGATAGGTCAGATGAATGCATGGCTATGGAATTGATGCAGGGGGCTGGGATTCAGGTTCTTGGATCATTGGAACCTCTCCTGGGGCAGGGACGACCTGTATAAGAGGGATGGGTTGCTTGCACTTAAACTGGAGATGCATGAATATCTTTGCAGGGAGGTGTGCTAGTGCTACTTGAGGATTTAAACTAGAGTGGCAGGGGGGCTGGGAACCAGAGCATCAGGTCAGCAAGTGGAGAGATTGAGGGGAAGGTAGATGTTAGGATCAGTAAATTGGAAAGAAAGGACAGGCAGAGACATGTAAATGAATGCGATGGTACTAATAAGCTGAAGTGTGTTTATTTCAATGCAAGGAGTATTAAAGGTAAGGCAGATGAGCTTAGAGCCTGGATCAGTACATGGGACGATGATATTGTCGCTATTGCAGAGACTTGGTTGCGAGAGGGTCTGGCTGCTCAACGTTCATGGGTTTTGTTGTTTTGGATGCGCTAGAGAGTAAGGCAAAAGAGGTGGAGGAGTTGCACTACTAATCAGGGATGGTGTTACATCTGCACGCAGAGAGGACATGCTAGAGAGTTCATTGACTGAGGCAATATGATAGAGTTCAAAAATAAGATGGGTGCAATCACTCTGATAGGAATATACTATATGCCTCCCAACAGCCACCGAGAGATTGAAGAACAAATATGTAGGCAGATTATGGAAATGTACAATAATAACAGAGTTGTCATAGTAGGTGACTTTAACTTCCCCGGTATTGACTGGGACTCCCTTGGAACAAGAGGCTTAGATGGGGCAAAATTTGTTAAGTTCATCCAAGAGGTTTCTTGAAACAGTATGTGGTTAGTCCAACCAGAGGAGAGGCCATACTGGACCTAGTACTGGCTAATGAGCCTGGCCAGGTGACTGACCTTTCAGTGGGAGAGAATTTTGGTTAACAGTGAAAACAACTACTTAAGTTTTAAGATAACTATGAATAAGGATAAGTCAGGACCTTGCAGGAAGGTACTAAATTGGGGAGGGCAAATTACATCACTGTTGGGTAGGAGCTAGGGAGTGTTAATTGGGAGGAGCTGTTATCAGAAACGTCCACATTTGACATGTGAGAATTGTTTAAAAACCTGCTGGGGAGAGTTCAAGACTGGCATGTTCCAGAAGGGAGGAATAATAAGGATTGCAAGGTAAGGGACCCTTGGATAAGGAAGGAAGTTCTGAATTTAGTCAAAAGGAGAAATGAAGCATATGCAAGGTTTAGGAAGCTAAAATTGGACAGGGCCCATGACGAATATAAGGAAAGCAGGAAAGAACTCAAGCAGGGAATTAGGAGAGCAATAAGGGACTATGAAATGACCTTGGCAAGTAGGGCTAAAGAGAATTCTTGTCTCTTTTGCTATGATACCAGAACTGAAACCAGACTGACCACTTGGCATCGACCTAGACAAGCCTTGACGACCCTGCAAAGTCCTCCTTATTAACATCTGGGGCCAGTGACAAATCTGGGAGAGCTATGTCTCTCTCACAGTCATGCTTATGGACTCATACTTGACAGACAATGCCCCAGACACCAATATCACCATACCTGGATATGTCCTGTCCCACCAGCAGGGCAGACCCAGCACAGGTGGCAGCATAGTGGTATACAGTTGGGAGGGAGTTGCCCTCAGAATCTTCAACATTGAGTCCAGATGCCATGAAGTCTCAAGGCCTCAGGTTAAACGTGGGCAAGGAAAAGAGTTGCTGATTACCATGTACCATCCTGCCTTCACTGATAAATCAGTACTCCTCCATACTGAACAACACTTGGAGGAAGCACTGAGGGTGAAGGGCGCAAACTGTACTCTGGATGGGAGATTTCAATGTCCACCACCAAGAGTTGCTCAGTAGCAGCACTACTGATCGAGGTGGTTAGGTCCTAAAATACATAGCCGCTAGAAGACTAGGTCTGCGGCAAGTGGAGAGAAAATAAAGAAGAGGGAAAAACATACTTGACCTCATCCTTACCAATCTGCCAGCTACAGATCCATCTGTCCATCACAGTATTGGTAGAAGTGACTACTGCACAGCCCTCGTGGAGATGAAGCCCTGCCTTCACATTGAGAATACCCTCCATTATGTTGTGTGGTATTATCATAGTGTTAAATGGGACAGACTTTGATCAGACCTAGCAACTCAAGGATGGGCATCCCTGGGGCATGGTGAGCCATCTACCCAACAATGTAGAAAATTACCCAGGCATGTCCTATACGCAAAAAACAGAACAAATCAAACCCAGTCAACTACTACCCCATGAATCCACTCTCGAGCATCAGCAATGGAAGTTGTGATCAAAAGTGCTATTAAGCAGCACCTGTACAGCAATAACCCTGCTCAGTGACACCCAGTTTAGGTTCTGCCAGGGCCACTCAGCTCCTGACCTCATTACAGCCTTGGTTCAAACATAAATAAAAGAGCTGAGTTCCAGAGGTGAGGTGAGAATAACAGCTCTCAACATCAAGGCTGCTTTTGACCGAGTATGGCATCAAAGAGTGCTAGCAAAATTGGAATCAGTGGGTATCAGGTGGCAAACTCTCTACTGTTTGGAACCAAACACGGCACATTTGAAGATAGTTGCGTTTGTTAGAGGTTAGTTCCAGGACATCTCTGCAGGAGTTCCTCAGCTGCTTTGTCAATGACCTTCTCTCTATCATAAGGTCAGAAGTGTGGATGTTCGCTGATGATTGCACAATGGTCAGCACTTTTTGCAACTCCTCAGATACGGAAGGGTCCATGTCCAAATGCAACAAGATCTGGACAATATCCACTCTTGAGCTGACAAGTGGCAAGCAGTGTTTCATAGAGTCATACAGCATGGAAACAGACCCTTTGGTCCCACTCATTCATGCCGCCCAAGTTTCCCAAAGTAAACTGGTCTCATTTGCCTACATTTGGCTCAAATCCCTCTAAACCTTTCTTATTCATGTACCTGTCAAAATGTTTTTTAAATATTGTAACTGAACTGGCATCCATCACTTTCCTCTGGATATATGAACCACCCTCTGTGTGAAAAGGTTGTCACTAAGGTCCCTTCTAAATCTTTCTCCTCTCATCTTATAAATATGCACCCTAGTTTTGAACTCCCCCACCTTAGGGAAAAGACCTTTGTATTCACCTTATCTATACCCCTCATAATTTTATAAACTTCTACAAGGTCACCCTTTAACCTCCCATATTCTAGTGAAGAAAATCCCTATCCAACCTATTTTTATAACTCAAACCTTGCAGTCCCAGTAACATTCTGGTAACTCTTCACACAAATACTAGACAATGACCATCTCCAATAAGAGACAATCTAATCACTGTCCCTTGCTATTCTATCGTACTACCATCACTGAATCCCTATATCAATATCCCGGGGTTTACAATTGACCAGATGGTGTCAAGCTTCTTGAGTTTTTGGAGCTGCACTCATTGAGACAAGTGTGGACTATCCTCTCCTGACTTGTGCCTTGGGGATCGTGAACTGGTTCTGTGGAGTCAGGAAGTGAGTTACTTGTTTCAGGACCCCGAGCCTCTGAACTGCTCAAAGTTTATAAAACTAGTCCAGTTCAGTTTTTGGCCAATGGTAATCTCAACGATGTTGACAGTGGAGTGTTCAGTGATAATAATACCATTGAATATCAAGGGCAATGGTTATATTATGTCTTGTTGGAGATGGTCATTTCATGACACTTGTGTGGCATACATGTTGCTTGCCACTTGTCAGCCCAAATTTAGGTTATGCCTAATTGCTGCATTTAGACATGGACTGCTTTGGATGCAAATGTAAGTGATCTGTTTAGTAATTTGCAGACAACCCAAAGGTTGGTGGAGACAATACAGTGTGAAGCTGGAGGAACACAGCAGGCCTCTGACTCCAGCATTTGCAGTTCTTGCTATCACAAAGGTGGGTGGAGTTGTGGTAGTGAGGAAGATTATTAAAGGATGCAGCAGGATATAAATCAGTTGGAAAGTTGGGTGTTAAATGGAAGATGGACTTTACTCTGGATAAGTGTGAGGCGATATATTTTGGACAGTCAAATGAAAGCAGAAATTATGCAGAAAATAATAGGAGCATTGATACACAGATGGATCTTGGTATGCTCCATAAAACTGGCAACACAAGTGGATGATGTGGTAAAGAAGCCTTAAGACATTCATCCATCTGGGCATTAAGTATAAAAGCTGGCAGGTCACTTTGCAGCTGTAGAAGACTTAAATCAGGCCACATTCGGAGTATTATGTGCAGTTCAGGTCACCACACCCATAGAAAAGATATGGAGGCTTTGGAGAGGACGCAAAAGAGGTTTATCAGAATATGAACACAGCAGGCCAAGCAGCATCAAAGGAGCAGGAAGGCTGACGTTTCGGGCCTAGACCCTTCTTCAGAAATGGG